CGCTGTCTTGGCGCGGTAGCGATGCTTGGAGCTGTTGTCGCCGATAGATATCGCGCCAGTGGCTAGCGCGTGGAGCTCTTCTCGCGTCACGACCCCCATGAGTTCACCGCGTTTGGACACCTACTTGTCGTTTCATGCACACGATTTTAGCCGCCATGTCGCGCACATACCACGCAAAGAAAGCTGAGTCCGAGTGACCGAAACTGCCGATACGCCTGTGCAGCTGATGCTTCGACTACACTCTCGAACTTATTCACATGGAAGGACGAGGCATTCCACCCACTTACCGTTGATTTGCCCAGGCGATGGATTCACATACATCTCGAGGTTCACAAAGCATTCTCGATCTGCCAGAGAGAACCTGGACATGTCCAAAGGAGCGGCGTCATCATCCATCGTCTCGGCTTCAAGCACATGCACGTTCGTCAAGTCGCTTTCGAGGTCGCTGCAGGAGAACGGATTCCACGTAGCTTTGTGATGGAGAAGCCGAACGAGAACATGTCTATCCACTCGTCATGCCGTGCGTTCAACGAATGGAGAATGAGGATTACCGGTGGATCGTGCCTTCTAGCACCTTCTCATGCAGCCCCGTCTGACCATCGTGGCGACGTTCGACAACTGCCCAGCACATTTGTTGTGGGTGAAGTTCCAGCTCGGCCAAGAGTGTGCCAACCCTTTCTCTCTGCGCCATGCATTGTGTCCATGCCATTTCTCGCTTGAGTGAACAGCTACCTTGCCAAAGCAGCTCATGGGTTCCGGTTTCATGACCCGCGTCACACTGACATGCTCTGTGCCTTTGGGCGGACTCCAGTCGAGAAACGGAAGTCGCCGGCAATGGATGTGGATTTCGTACAGCCCCTGCCCATCATCCACTCAACACTGAATTGCACCGTCCAAATTGATCGCGTGCCGCGAGATCGCAGCCACACATTCGATACACATCAAGGTACCTTGCTCAGGAGATTTCCGACCCAACGAGCTGGCATCAGTGTCATCATGAGCGGCAGTGCGTACTGCAAATCGCCTACACCGCGATGTAGTGCATGCTTTCGACGTCATGGACTCAAAGGACCACTTGCCTGTGGCTTCCAACAGGATAATGGCCAGCGAAATCGTCATGCGGGTGACGCCACCCAAAACTGCGGCCGCGCCAACGAGCGCATAAGTGCTCAAGTTGACAAAATCCAGCTCGTCCGAATGCATCTGAACGAAACCACACCGTTCAGGTCACGCAACGCAGCGATCGAGTGGCTACGTACCCAATGGCCAGCCACACGGCCCAGCGCAGCACCGACAAGAATGCTTGGAACAAACACGCCAGACGTAATACTAGCCCCAAACACCAGCGCAGATCCCTGGTTGCCGAAAACATCAAACACGTATTCGAATGCGTCGCCGTCAGAGCTACAGGGTACACACCGAAAAGTACAAGAGGGCGAACGCTAGCAAGCTGGCAGTGGTGAACATTGGAGGCGACGCGAACGAGCTTTGTAGGTGTAACAACTAGTGGAGACGCAATGTCGGTGCAGCTGGGACGAGTGTTTTTTCACGGTACGGTGCGAGGGCTACCTGTTTCAGGGCGGCGTCTTGGGGCGACAGGAAGAGACTCGCAAGGTCGTTGTACTGACCAGGGGGACACTTGAATGTGACGAGCTGGAAAACCCCAAGCATGGCATCAGAAGATGATGGGTGGGTTGGCATGCAGCGGGCGGCGTACTTGACGGACAAGATGCGATTTTTCGGTCGTCGAAATCGCCGGGGGGACAGGTTGGCACGTACCGACCCCATCCGAGACGAAATACCAAACGAGACTGAGAGCCACCGACACGCACATGACGTAGACAACGCGGAATGCCAGGGGAACTCGATACAGTTGCGTGTGGTAGATCACTGCCTTGTTCAGGTGATTGAAGGCGGCCCCCAAAGTGCCGCCCTACGACCAGCGTCAACGTCATGTGCCAACGACATGCGAGCGCTACATACCGCGACACCAATCGCCATGAACACAGCAAGCTCCCACGGCAAGTACGACGCTCGGTCGACGGTTGGATCGACCATTTTGCCTACACGCTACAAGTTTCAGAACTTGTTTTCCGCTTGGCTCATCCCGCACCAAACGCAAAGAGCGACGACTTGCTTGCTGTTTCTGAAAAGGAAACCAGGGACGACCCAAAGACGACACATGCAGCGACCTAAGCAGCCATGGTCGTGTCAGGTTGATGTGCAGAAATAGATGGCCCATACCATGGCACAAAAGAAGGCTCGCCAAATGAGCTTTGGGGACAAGAACGAAGCGCCTTCCTCCAGTGCAAACAACACACCTCCGATGGGGGCCCCAAATGCAGCCGCCACACCTGAACGAATGTATTGTCCAAGATGAAGCGAACATGCGTGGGGTATACCTGCCGCCGCGCCACACGTGACTAAATCACGCACGTCTTTTTCCTGCAAGAATACAATCGGACGCCACCCACAGCATTGATACGATCGCTTGGATGAGAAGAAGGCTGCAATGATGGAGGCACTGTGGATCATGGGACCTTCTTTGCCCACAGGCAGGCCGCCCGAGACCGAAAGAATGACCCCAAGTACCTGTCATGGCCATTGAGCGTCGAACTGGAAGACATAACCACAGCAACCCTACCTTGCACACGAGTGTATCCAGGCTCATCCACACTTTGACATGGACGCCGTTCAACGTGCTTTTGATCTCTGGTATGCCCGACCCCGCCGACGCAGGGGCCCAGAACGTCGTGAGGACGCTTGCAATGCCAACGCACCACACGTTGCACGCCACGAAGAAGAGCAGGCTACCACCATGCATGGACGTGCCGGCCACTTCTTGTCCTAGAAATGCCACGGGTCACGACGCACTGCAAGATGAAGCGGCCAGAGGGAGGACGTACCGAGTAGCCCTTGCATCATCTGAAATTTCCACGACACAAGACTGGACGTCACTAAATTGATAAGAATCACGACGTGGGCTGTCGCCACCCCAATGAGAAGGGTCAAGAGCCACTTCGTCAATGAGATGGTCTTGTGGCGCCATGAAAACGACGGCAGGCCACATCCACATGGATCGATCTGTGGCGACACGTCCAGCTCGTCTTGGAGATGCTGGCCGTCTTTGGTAAACCGCGCGTCGTACGTGACGAATTCAACGCTCTCGTACTGAACGAGCTCGTGGGATCCGCTGCCGTGGTGCTGACTCAATGGCCGATACGCCATGCTTCGTGTGGCCTGCGTATGAGTCGGCAATGTTCGCCTCGGCTTTATCGAAGAGCAAGCAACATCCGTGGGGGTTACAAGTAAAACGTCTCGATTTTCGAATGCTGAGAGGCGACAAGCGTACTCGACACTGGTCGACGGTATATGAGAGAAACTAGGACGTCTGAGGGGCCGAAGGGAGCGTGAGCATGGCTGCTAGATCTCCAATCGGTCGTTTGTGCACCATGTAGTCTTGGAATGCTGTCAACGGAAGCGTTGTCGCCTTGTCAGGGAGCACGTCGTGGAGTTTGGCGTCCAAGGTCGCGTCGTTCGCCCCGTGTTGCTGAAATAATGCTTTAATATCGCCTTCAGTGAGTTCGGTCTTGCCCGACACCCTGCCGCCGGGACTACGCTGGATTAACCACTTGTACAGAACTAGTCATGGCAAACTCCGTTTAGCAGTGCGAAGCACTCGGGTTATGTACAAGCCAGCTTGTCGGGATTGTTGCCCTGCTGGCTAAACACCTAGTTCGAATGAATATGATGTCTGGCGTATGCGATGAGTGTATAGAGCTACCATGTACGTTGCAATGAATGATTCGAGTGTCGGTGGTTGGCCTGGTGCAATCGAGCAGCATGCAAGGACACACCTAGTTTCGACATCATGGTGAACTTAGCAACTCTGGGAAGCGTACTCTGCAGGGGTAGTGGCTTGGCTCGACTCTTGCTTTCTAGTCGATTCGAGATTGGGGTGTTTCGCTCCGAAGCCCGACGGTTTACCGGGAGACGGCTGCAAGGAACCTCGCTTGCAATTCAAAGATCATTCGCTGGCTTACTACAACGAACGACCGGCAGTGAGACGTGCAGCCTCCATCGCGCCATCAAGTCTATCGTACGCCCGAATTTCACCTCCAGTCGTTCCACCTCGAAGATGGTTGCTGGCGCGTGCATTGGCGGCGGCACGTGACCTTTCGATGGCTAGCCGTTTTATATCTGCCATGATGGTATCCGGATACCTCACTTCACGACCAATCATCGGGTTAGAGAGCAACTTCAAACTCATGCAAGTGCGTCGCAGCGTCCGAGGCCTTGGGCAAGCGGCACACTTCAGCACCACTCCTGCGAGTCGGTGGTGGGACTGGACACGGCTTACTGCGTGGTTTAGCCCCACACGACCTGCAGAACCAAGCACACATCACGCGGTCGAGCCCGAAACGTGTGTGTTTGTCGACGGCAACAACTTGCTCTACGCAAAGTACTCGCCGACGTGCACGCAAACCTTGTCGTACGTGTACGCACAACATGCTGCGAAATCTTAGCGACGTGTAGCAACGGTGTGGCAATTGGCGCAACGTTGGGTTTCCTGCAAGAGCTGACCCATGTGATGGAGAAAATGCACCCCCATCGGTTGTGCGTATTCTTCGACACGCCCGTCATCACTCACCGCAAGAAGAACGACCCGACGTACAAGGCCAATCGGGATAGAATGGACGACGCGTTGCGCAGGCAGTTCCCACTCACGGTTCGCTCCACGGCACTACTACTACTCGAGTGTGGAGAGACGATGCTCTTCGTGTAGATATCGTTGATGCAGGACTTCGCAGTTCCTGTTGTTCAAGTCCCCGGCATCGAAGCAGATGACATGATTGCGTCGTACACAAAGGCCAGCATCGAGAGCGGATACGAAGTTGTGATTGTGTCAAACGACAGCGACTTCTTCCAGCTCGTCCGGAGCGCGCCGCCCAGAGTATCTCTGTACAAGTTCCGGACACGGTGGTGGATGGAACAAGATGATGTATTGCAACTGATCGGTGGCGAGAGCCCAAAGTTGCATCCCGATCTACGTGCGCTTCGTGGAGACCAATGGGGGAAATCTCCCGGGCTTCCCGGTGGCATTTCAAAAGAACTTGCTGTCGACTTGGTAGTGCGAGCGGGCGGTCTCTTGCCGCTCTTGGATCACCTGGATCACGTATGTCCAAATGCCATTGGGGCATATTGAAATGAATTGTGTGGATCGTGTAGGTTGAGGACGATGCGTTGCGCAGGAGGTTGTTGGATGCGAGGGACATGTTGACACGAGCATTTCACGCGTCAAAGCTCGACGACTCGATGCCTTTGTCGACTCCTCTGCAAAACATGTCCATCCGTCGTATCAACCTGGCAAAGCTCGCCGATATGCTGGGGAACCCGGCGGCGCATTTCCAGTCCCTCGTTCAGAAAGTCTAATCCAGAATTCTGCCGTGGGACAACTCGGTCGCCTGCGAAATTTTCCATGTCATCGTTACCATGTGGGCAACGTGAAGCAATCTGACATGCACATGTCTCAATGTCGCTGACAACCGGGTGAGGGTAGTGTGCCGAGCCTCCACCTCCTGTCGAAGGATGTATTTCACCACGCCAGGGGGCGGCAGACACTTCCAAACGTGCCTCACATCCACAAGTTTGTTGCAAGGCGACGACAATGGCCAGATCGCCAAGTGGTTGATTGGGCCAAGGCGGATGGCATGTTCGCCACTTCCGGGATTGCTGCGATGCCATTGGCTAATTTAAACCAATCAAGTGCGTTGACCATCTTAAAGGGCCAACCAGCACCAGAATTCAGAACATCTTGAAATTTGTATACGACTCTATATTTGGGTCCGTAGAAACCTTGCACGGGGTCCCGTGCATAAAAATATATTTGAAATTTGTATTCAAAAATTAAAATCCTCCCTCCGATTGTTCTGGGTGCGCTGTCGAATTCGTCAGAGGGAGTCTGACCCACGGGACCAACGACCACAGTCCGCGGCAGTCTTTGATTCCCCGACAACTCCCACTGGACATGTGCCCCCTACGATACATCCTCCTCGCGCTTTCGCTGATCGTAGCCTTCATCGGGCTTTCCCAGGCTGCCATGGAGGCCGATGAAACGAGCTCGTCATCAGCTGGCGACGACATCAACGCAGACGGCAAAACGACCAAGAAAACCATGTTCCAGACCCTCGTGGATATGCTCACAGGGCGCTACCTGCTCAACGCGTACTATGGTGCCCCCAACGGTGTCAAAGTCGACTAGCTGCATCCGCGCACTCGCGCCTTAAGTTATACCACCCGCGTCCATTTGCGACGACGACGTATCTAATCAACCAAATTTGTACGACACAATCTTGAGAGTTTGCGTCCAGAGGTTAATAGCGATGTCGCGATAAGGCGGGACCGTTCCTTTCGTGCATGTGTGCAAGGGCAATCGTCAAGTTAGCTGCAGAGGATGACAAAGCAGAGAGTGTGGAACATTGTGGGTTGAGCTTGTCCTATGCAGAGCATCCTCCGTCTGGGCACGACTTGGTCACCACGGGCGCCTTGCCCGAGTCTGGCGTGATTTCCGTGAGCTCTTCGTCCTTGCGAATGCGGCTCTTCTGGGGGTCAGTCAACTTGACCTCAAACGTACCCTTTTCGTTTGCCTTGCCCTGCACGATATTGTACAACAGCATTGCTTCCGCTTCGTCGATGCCCTTGATGAGCGCACTCAACGCCTGGGTGTCATGCACATCGCGGTTTTCAAGAAATGCGGCGCGGACGGCTTTGCGAGCTTCGACAACCGCACGCTTGTCTGCTCCGAACGTCTGCTGGCTCGCTCGCAGGAGGCGTCGGTACCCGCCGAGGACGTGGACCCGAGCAGCCGCTGCTTGTGACGCCATTGTTTCCTGCTTCAATGGACCACATGACGGATATGCAATGAGAACCTGTCATATATAGTATTAACATATACAGGTTATACCTCGAACCAACACATCAGCATGCACGACTATGCCAGACGATGGAAGTGCGGAACCCAGAGCCTCGCCCATCCGCGAGAGTAGTAGAATCCGCAGGGTCCTTCTGGGGACTCTGACCGTCTCCAGCACATGCGCATGATCCATAAGCTTGTTATGGTCAGATTGCTGTCCGAGACTGAATCTTGTGCAACTTACAACGGGGCATCCACCTCTTCAAAGCAGAGGCCATGCCAGGAATGCGGCGTCGTTGTGACGGCGCAATATGTTCGTCAGCATTGTCATTTGCAAAAATGATGCAAGCGCCATGTGCGCAATGCTTGATGTCGACTCCGAGACCTTGAACACGGTTCTTATGTGGCCCACATGGGTAATACAGTAATTCCTCGTCGCCCCAAAGCACAGTTTGCAGTGCATTGTTTGATGTGACATCAAAGGGTGCTACAAGAACTGCGACGAACGCGGCGCTTCTTCGGCCTGGAACTGTGGGGTCGACGCTAGGACAGATGGAGGAGTTGTCGCAAGGATCCATTGCCCCGTGGCCTGTTCGGCGTGCTGTTGAGCCCAGGCTATCACGTCTGGCGATCCAATGCGGATGCTTGCATGGGAAAATAGCCACTTGACCACATGCAGCTGGCCAAAACTCGCCGCTTGAATCACCACCGACGTGTCGGCCGCACACACATGTTTGTGCAAGTATGTCACGACGGATATGTGACCCATTTTTGCAGGTCCTTCGAGGGTCTTCGACGTGCACTCGACCGTTTGGTGCGTGTGCAGCCACCGCACGACGTGCAAGTGGCCAAAATATGCCGCATGACTGAATCCTGACGGTGAGCACCGAAGTCCATGATCGTGGAGTTTGATCACAAGAGCCAGATGGCCGCCTTGTGCGGCTACGTCCATGGCTCTTTCCGTCGACACACACCCCGCGTCGAGCAAGTATTGCACCGTCGCCAGCCGACCGATTCTTGTTCCTACGAACAGCGGCACGGACGTGGCAAAATCTTGGTCCAACTGGTGCTTGATCCATTGCAAGCACGACAACTCTCCATTTTCCGTCGCACACATGAGGGTCACGGGCGACATGGGCAGCCCAAGCGTTGCATGGAGCCACTTGGCGACGCCGAGATGGCCAAATCTGACGGCGGCATCGATGGCGACGGTGGGGCACCCGTCCGTCCGATTCGCATTGAGGTACAAGAGCACTTGAAGGTGCCCATGCTTGGCAGCAAACTCCATTGCGCGTGGCGCAGTGGCGTCTGTACGATGGAGGTGGAGGAATTCGACCATGACGAAGTTTCCGATAGCCGCTGCGTTTTCCATGGCGCATTGCGTACACCCTTCTGTGCGGTTGTAATGGAGCCACTTGACGATGCTGAGATGGCCTTTGGCCGCCGCTCCGTCCATCGCCGCAACAGTGCACCCTTCCGTGCGATGCTCGTGAAGCCATCGGACAACGTCGAGATGGCCATTCATAGCGGCTTTGTCCATCGCTTCAGTGGATGCGAGACATTGTCCTTGACTGTCTAGCCACTGGACAATGTTTAGGTAGCCGCAGCCTGCGGCAGCATCTAGAAGATCGACGTGCGTCACACCAATTTCTGTGAGCCACTTGACCAAGTCCAAGTTGCCGCTCCTGACCGCCATCCACAGAGCGTTCGAAGTGCAAATGGTTTGCTCCTGCTCATGCAGTAGTTTAGCGGCAGCCAGGTGGCCGCCCACGCAAGCTTTGACAAATGCGTCGGACGACACCTTTTGACCTTGATTCACCAGCCATCGGATGATGTCTAGCCGACAGTATCGCGACGCCCATACCATGGCTTCAGCCCAATGCACATCGTCTGGACGGTGTTCAACGAGCCACTCCATCACGTCCAAGTGGCCACCTTCCGCGGCATCACTGAACATGAACCGCGACCCTCCCTCGCTTCGATTCGCATGCACCCACTTGACAATGTCGAGGTGCCCGTTCTGTGCAGCCATCCCGAGAGCGTTTTCCGAGCACCCGACGAATCCACGATGCTCATGCAACCACTGAACCATCGACAAGTGGCCATTCTTCGCAGCCAAATCCATCGCTTTCTCCGTGCTTGGCGCGTCAAGTTTGTGATGCAGGTACTCCACGACGGTGATATGATTGTTTCCCGCCGCCTTGTCGAATGCGTTCTCGGTGAACCCTTCGTCACGTCGGTGCGCATGCAGCCATTCGGCAACGCTTAAATGACCGTGCTCGCATGCCCAGTCCATCGCTTGCTCCGTGCAGCCTTCGTTGCGGTGGGCATGAAGAAACTCCAGAACGTCAATATGGCCATTCTTGGCCGCATTGTCCATGGCCCGCGTGGTGCAGCCTTCGGATCGATGGTCATGGAGATACTTGACAACGTCCAAGTGCCCGAACTCGGCCGCCATGTCCATGGCATCTTCGGAGGAAGGGACGGCTGGAAACTGCTCGTTGAGGAAGCGAACGATGCCAAGGTGGCCCTCCCTCGCAGCAGCAACCAATGCAAACGCCGAGCATGTCCATCCTTCACAATGTGGATGCTGCACAAAATAGTCAAGTACCAATCGCTGGTTGTTCCAGGCCGCGACGTCAATCAACTGGAGCATCGATGCCGGAGTCACTGGTGCATAGCTCAGTGCAACCTCCACGACGTCCACACGGCCAGAGTACGCAGCATGAACGAGCATGTTCGCGTGCATGTCATCGACGAGATCAAACAACCGAGGCAGCCGTGACAGTCCGTGCTCGTTGAGCCATGGATCGAGCACCGTGGCCAAGGCATTGTACGCGCCTCGGGGAAACACATCCCGCGTGAGATGCGGTGGGATTTGAACGTGACCGATCCCACGTTCGTCAGGACTCGGAAACTCGAGGTTCACGTCAGCGACGCACGGCGAGGAGGAAACACGGCGGTTGAGGGCAACGTACGCCATACTTCACACGGATCCGCGCCGGTCCTTGGGATGTCCACTGCCACCTCGCTGCCCTCCCGCAACGGCTTGGACACTGCCACCTCGCTGCCCTCCCGCAACGGGTTGGACACTGCAAATTCGTCGCGTGATTGGGTGATAATTCGTGATTGTTTTTGCGACATCCAATCAACATGCACCCTGCATGTGCTTTGGGCCGAGCCACCATTTGCCAAGGGGCATCCAGCTCGGCCCATTTTGGGGGGCGACCCAAGTGAGCCACGCAACCGGAGCAAGCGCTGGACGTTGGGCTGGGCTTGTGCCAAAAGCAAGCACATGTCAACACCAGCCGCCAGATTTGTGCATGGATACGTCACGGCAACCTTGGCGAAGATCCACCAGATAGGTAGAAGTTATAGGAGTTAAGGAGCGCAGCGGTGCGAATCGTGGATGCCTGTGTGCAGATGATTTTGAGCCACAGCAAGGCCGTGTTGGTTTGGCCATGTTCACCACGCATGGCAGCGCAGTGCTTCACATGAGTGGATGCCCCGAGCGAGCTGCCATGGGTATGACCGCCTGGCGAAGATGCATCAGGGCCATCGACCAACGTCTCCTTTGAACAGCGACAAATGTGCGGGTCGCACGGACGGCGAGAAGGATGAGCACCCGATACCACTTCCAGCCCACATCCGAGGCATGTTGGCAGCCACAACAGGATTTTCAATAAAGGTGAAAAATCCAACTGCATTTTGTAAATCTTCTCCCTCGCCTTTCTTGGAATCCGGGGGTTCCGTGAGTGGATATGCGGACGATCGTGGCCATATCTTCATTCGGTCACTCTCACTCATGCGACTTGCTCTTGGAACGGTGTGCGTAGCTGCTGGTATGGTCATGGCTACAGGTCCCGCCATTTGCACCAAGGACATTTCCGTCAAGAGCCTCTTGGTTCACGGGTGCGTCTGCAAGCCATGCCACCGTTGCGTGTACACAGCTCTTGGTGGCTGTCAACTGGACGTGTCGAAAGCGGTCACACTCAGCGACGGCAGCGACGTCCCGACGCGGCAGCCGCTCTTGGATCCACATGCTTGGTTCTTGACAGAAGCTGAAATCACAGCTTCTCGCAATGGAGTGCCTCGTCACGGCATGCATGCTTTCTCGTCCAACAACTCGGTCCACGTGTTTGCAGCAACGGACGAGTATTTTCGAGCGAAGTACGACGACATTTCGGCTACGACTGCTCAAGACGCCGTGTACTTTTCGGCATGGACACTGAACGATGTGGCCATCATCCCAGACGTGAATCCGAACCTGACGCTGCAGACTCTGTGGGGTGAAGCGCTCCGTCGAGAAGTTCCGATGGCCATGCTAGTGTGGGCGAACATTCGGGTAAGCGAAGCCACCCATCAGATTCGAGTTGCTAGTCACACTGCTTGCGCCGTAGGACGCGAAACCCACCATGGCCATGTTCAACTGGTTTCAGAATCAAACGCCCAAGGCCAACACGTCGCAATTCATTCTAGACGATCGTGTGACTCCGTTGTCGGGATCGCTCCATCAAAAGTTTACCGTCCTGAGACGCCATGGCAAGTGGGTCGCGTACGTTGGTGGCGTTGACTACAGCGTGGATCGGTGGGACACCAAGTTTCACAACAGCACCCAACTTCGAAAGGCAGCCAAGATCAAGGTCGACTACGACGGATGGATCGATGTTCACACGAGAATTCATGGCCCTGCCATCTCGGACGTGCTCGGGACGTTCCTCGGCAGATGGAACAACCCGACTCTTCCCTCGATCCCCATGGCGTTTTCGCTGGCGGCGTCCACATCCCCCAATGGAACGGACATTCCTCAACACCTGCCGGTCGTGGCGATGCCGCCAACAAATGCAATCGGCACCCACCATGTCCAAATCACTCGCACGTACAGCTGTGTGTACACGGGGTACAACTCGTTCGCGCCGCGAGGGGAGACATCGATCTTGGCGTCGCGGCTGAAGGCGATCCGGAACGCTCGAAACTACATCTACGTTGAAGACCAGTACTTTGTTCACGTGCCCGAACTACTCGCGGCGCTGGTGCATGTCCTCCCGACCATCCAACGCCTCGTTGTCGTCACATGCAAACGTGGGGCCGTGTCTGCCGCAGCCGGCTACGACAAGTTTTTTTACGACATGGTGGCGCCGCTTCAGGTCAAGTTTCCCAACAAAGTTCACGTGTTCCGGACCATCGACTCGATCTTTGTCCACTCGAAAGTCGTCCTGATCGACGACGTGTTCTTGTCGATCGGGTCGAGCAATTGGAATGTCCGGAGCATGACGTCGGACGCCGAACTCACGACAAACATCGTGGACGCCGCCACGACCGTTGGCGACCATCACGTTGCTGTGGCGGCGTTGGCGCGGCAGTTCCGCGTGGCCAAGTTTGCCGAACTAACCCGGTTTTCCATCGATTTTGACCCCCTGACAGTCGTACAAGCCGCCAACGCACTCGCGGCGTACGCCACATCGGTCCCGGACGCTCTCATCGTGCCGTACGACGTCCAATATGAGCTCTACTTTGACCTGTACAACGTCCAAGGTATCGTTGACGGCGACGGCCGTTGCAAGCCATCGGGACCTTCGACCATGCTCAGCGCTTGCCGACCACTGTCTCAAGACACCAGCAACCCGATCCTTCGAGCGGCGTGCGACTGCAGGAACGACCCTCACCAGCGGGACGTGTCAACTTGCATGGCTCAAATGGTGAATGTGGCAAACTTGGCCGCGCAGGTTGAATCTACGCGGTTGTGGCAAAAAGCTGCGTTGGTGGCGTTCGCCGCGGCTGCTATCGGGTGTTGTGGGGTCCTCCTTGGTCATTTGTTTCGTCGTCACTGGCGTCGACGTGTCGACCAAACTCTTGCGATCAAGGTCCGTGGTTGTGAGAGGGAATCGTTGTTGAGTTCGCGCTAACTTGTTAACTTGGTCCATTTCCGTCGCACATGACGCCGACGGCACGGAAAAGGGCACTGCCCTTGGCACATGCCGCGGCTCGTCCTGTCATTTCCCCATTCAACGTCAAACTGGCACAAGCCAGAGGATGGCCAGGCCATGACTGCGCGTTATAGCCGCTCTGCGGGGGCGCGAGGCGCGGTAGTGTTCAAGGCATCTGTCACGATGGAACATATATATATATATTTATGGATACATCAGCAGACTTAGTCGTCGTCTTCGTCGTCGACAACGTGCAAGTTCAGGCGGTCTTGCTCGTCAATGTACGTTTCGTCGATTTGCTCGGCAATGATGCGGATGATGAGCGCGTTCGACATGATGTTCATCACGGTCGAGAACCGATCGAGGAGGACGTCGATAGCGACAATCCAAACAAAGTACGTTGGCCGCATCACCGAAGTGACGTTCGTTCCAGACAACGTCGTGACCCCCATGGCTGCCCATACGCTCATGAGGCCAACCAACCCGCCGTGCGGCAATGGAGGACAGCTCCACGAGTTGATCACGCACGTGAAAAACATGATGAGCAAGCGACTTGCAGTCACGGCCGTGTCGTCTTCGGGATTCACTTCGGCCCCCGATCGACTGAGGTACTCGGTGCGCAACAGAAACACCGTGCACGCTGCCAAGTAGAACGCGGCGCCGTCGAGGTGGATGCCCGTTCCAATCGGCAGCAAGAATCGCGTGAGTTGATGCGATACCGTCTGTGAATTGTCAATCGCTTTGACCGTGATGGGCAATGCCGCCAACGACGATCCACTCCCAAACCCAAAGTTGATTGCGCGGCTCATCTGCATCATGTACGAAAACGGGTTGCGGCGCGTGCAGAGGAACGTCATGCCAGGCAGGACGACGACCATGTGGAGTACAGACCCCAGGATAAAAATCAACAGGAGGGTGAGGGGAGGCTTGAAATCGTCGGCTAGGTTTTCAAAGAACGATGACGACCGCACGTTCAGCTGAGGCAAGATGAGCCGCATCCGCTTGACTATGTTCGGGTCGCTGATGTCTTGAGACCCCCACCCAATCACTGCCTGAGCAGTTGGGTCCTCGGGGACGAGGAACGCCGACGCGACGAGAAAGATGACCGCGACCGGGACAAAGTTGATCACCCACCCGATCATGATGAGAAAGATGCTGTTGAGCTGGCGAAAGAGGTCAATCACTGGGTTGTTCACGCCAAGCATCGCGAGCGCAATGCCGAGCGGAATCGCAAACATGACCAGACTCACCAGCTGCCCGTCTTTGGTGAACGCCGCCACAATGTTGTCCGTCACCAGTGTGTCGGTAAGGTTAAAAAACACAGCTTCAGCGGTCGGCGCCTTGACCAGCCAGTTCGAGGCCGACTTGAACGTCCGGTTCAGGTCCGTGAGCGCGAGTGTTGCGATTTTTGGCGAGCATACCATTCGCGTCGTGTTGGTGGACCGGTCGAAGTGGGTGTTCATGAACAAGGCAGCTCCGTCCGCCGCTTTCATCGGGCACAAGAGGTTTACGGGAACAGCGGGGATGCCGTTCCGCCAGTTGGACCAACCCGAGGCGTTGGAGCTATTGCCCGAGAATGCCAAGCCCGGAGATTGGAGCTTTGTCTCGACCCGGAACAAGTTGTCCGGCAGCATTGTAGACAGCACCATTCCTTGCCCGACGGCCAGGATTGTCGTGACTAGGCACAGGAGCAACATGCGCCACCCCACCATGCGGCCTTTCTTGAGCGAGTAAATGTCGGCGACACCGATCGTGACGTTGACGAAGATCATGGGAACAATCAAACACGAGAGCCCGCGAATGAGAAGATCCCCCGGGAGGTAAATCCACTCGTTGATGCTTTGCTTGAGCTTCAGGAGGTTCACTGCTTTGTTGAATTGTTCCAGCAGCGCCTCCGGTGACAACGCGTCCAGGTCTTTGTATACAACATCCGCGTGAGCCAATGTGTCGATCATGAACGCAACCAGGACACCGAGGACGATGGCGATCACGATGCCCCAAATGCCAAAGTATAGCTTCTTGTACCATGCGCCTTCAATTGTCCACAAGTATGCGTAGTATTCGTCGTTAAGCTCTTGCGGCTTTGAGAGGTGCGTCTGGGATGCTCCGAGGATCGCGACGTCTGTTTCGTAGGTTGCTGATTCGACGGGCACCGGGAGAACGCCGCCATTTTGGTGCGCGCCAAACCGGTGCGTCGTGTCGTTGTCCACCGATGACTTTCGTCGGGATTGTTGGCTGCTGTGGGATGAATGCACCGATGCGCGGTTGTAGTGGTTGGCAGCATCAAAGTTGACAACGATCGGCGCGCCAGACGCAACGTCCGGGTCTGGCGTGGACACGAACTGCCGAAAGTCGGTGCGGAGCTCGCCGCGCGGAGGATATCTGGCGGCCATGCGATGTGGCTGGACCAGAAGTGCGAATGCGCCGCAGTTTGGAAAGTATAGCAGCTTCCATCTGGTTCACCTGGTCTGTGTTGCGGGGTGCCGATTCCCGCGATGCCATTGGTGGGACGTAGATGACAGGTGGTTCCTTGGTAGAGGCCGACACCACTCTACCGTTCGGAATAGGCAACGTTAGCACCAAGTCGTCCGTTCGAGGGCACGTTAGCCGTCCGTGGGCTGAAGTGGCGGCTACCCAAGTGCATGAGCAGGCACATTTCAGGGTCCTTCCGCTTCTTGTCACAGCCGCATGAAGCTGCGGAAGAAAACCGATTTTGAATTGCAGTATATGACAACGTTTCGAGCTGTCTTAAATTTATAAACTTTTACATTATCACAAATATGCATTTATGCAAGAATCGTCCATGGTGGGTCGGTTGTTTCGATGTATTTCGAGCGATGAGAGTACTACTTTTGCAGAGGTTGTCGACGAACTATTGGATTATACAGGTACATCATAATCGCGAATCCATACAGTTCTCAAATGTGCCTAGTCCTGCTGGGTGTAATTGTCGAGAGCAATCGCCGAGAGCATGTCCACAAGCGTCGAGGACCGACTACAAGTCAGGTAAATGAGCCACAGTGTGCGAGGCACTGAGCCAAGTCCGCAGCTTGGACTGACATGACGCTAGAATGAGTGATTCGAGTCGGGGTCCATGTCGTTTGGGGGCTCGTGCGAGTCTGACCATCACTTCCGACGCTCGTCGGTGGGGAGTCGACTCGGTATTCCTCGAGCTGTTGAAATGGGAGGATTAGTGCTCCTGTACCACTTCTATGGCTACAGTCCTCTGCCAATCAAACGAATGCGGACCGCGGCGCAAAAACATGTCATCATTCCACGCGCAATTGAAGTCCTCTTAAACTGTCAGGACGATAACATAGTTTCGAGTTCGGCGACCCAGCGTCACCATGCACGCAGCAACATTGTTGCTGCCGGACACCTCTCGCAGCATCCGTTGGAACGCCGTCTTGCCGCGGAACACCGGCGCGTCCTCGCCAAACAGCCAACAACACAATCGGATTGCACATCGCTCAGGTCGTTTAAATCAGTTATAGGTCTTCATTGCGCAAGAAGCTATCGACCATGGCGAGGGCCACTTCTGGCTGGTCCATGGGCACCATGTGGCCGGCGTTGAATACACGCAGGAAGGCCATGTTCGCATACGACCGAGAGTAGCCCACCTGCTTGCCTTGAAACAGCGTCGGTTTGTGCGTTGCGTTGCGGTACTGGGCTTGGCCCGACCACGGCAGCGCGACTGTCCACGCTTCGTTTCCTTGCCAATTGACCATCAAGTCGGCGTCGCCGGCATAAATCAGGACGCGGATGCCGTCGTCGAGCATGGGGGGGAGCAATTGAGAGTACACTTTCATCCAGTCGCGTGAGAATCGTCGATTGATGTCAAAGTTGCATTCTTTCCACTGGGGCACGCGGACCGTGTTGACGCCGAGCTTGGCCATCGTGCCGGGCGAGTTCAAAAACGCTTCAATGTAGCTGAAATCGTAGCACCCGACGCCTTGCTGGCCGGGGCAGTCCTGTCGAATGTCGTACGGGTTACGCGCCGTCGTCGTAAACAGCGGCGTGACGAGGTTGCCGTGGCAAAATGCCAGAGCGTCGTCGCACACCGCCGCATCGTGCTGGCATGCTTGGACGAGCCGAATGCATTCCGGGACGAGCGCATTCATTTCTTCCTTTTGTTTGTCCGACACCAACGTCAAGTTGTACGCGTTGTCGACCATGTCCGTTGCGTGCGCGTACTACAGACACGTACACGGTGAGGGATCGCCCGACGTCACGGGTGCGCGCCTCTGTCTGCACCTGTATCAGCGGATCGGTAAGGCCGTTGCCAATGGCAAATCCCTGAAGGGGAATGCGAAGCCCCTTGGCGAGCTTGTTCTGCGTGTACACGTAATGGGCGGCGGCAGGGACGAAATGGCCAGCGTACGACTCGCCGAAAATGTAAAAATCGCGACCCTGGAACGACGGGTTCTTGTGCATCCATCCCTGCAAGAAGTATCAAATGTTCTCGCCGACTTGGTCTTCGTTCTCGTCAAAGTCGCCCGGTGCACCGTACGAGAACCCGACCCCCGTCGGCTGATCGAGCCACAACATGTTGGCAATATTGTTCCACGAGAGCGGATTCAGTTGCGTCTTCAGGTCCTTGTCCACCACGCACGGTCCGTTTTCATGCAGCAATGCCATCAAGCTCGAGCACCCTGGCCCGCCCGTGAGCCACAGAATCAACGGATCCGTGTGGCTATTGCGTCGGGACTCAAAGAACCAGTAAAAGTAGTGGTCGTCTTCCTTGTGGGGGAGCTTGATGTACCCCGACTCTTGTCCTGCGATACCACAAAACAGATCGTCCTCGTTCGTGTCGTTTCTTTTGATAAACTTCTGGACCGGATGGCCTTGTTCCGACGATTTGTGCAAGCTGGACACAGTCGACATCATGGTAAGCGGGGCCAGCCAGTGCGCGGATGCCATGACGAGGCAGCACCCACCGAGAAACCCCAGGAGCAGTTTGTGGGACAGCCACGACGACGCGTGCTGGTACCGGCCGCGCGGGGTCAGCGGCGTCGACTCTGTCACGTCGTCCTCGTCAAGGCTGATCGCTGTGTACCCCGCCATGGATGTATTCCGTGGCAAATGGAAAAGTTGCGATGACCTTTCCAACGATTCCGAAACTTAGAACACCCGTTGCCGACCAATCAAAACTTCGAATTCCTTTCGCGGACCAATCAAAACGTCTGAATCGGTATCCTTCGCCGCCGTTGTCCCGGTGACCTTTGGCCACATGCGGCCTCGGGTGATTGATGGGCGAGCCAGCTAACCGTCCAGGGCGAAGGTCCTGTATGCTTGGAACAACTCCAGCACGACCGTTCGTCGACGCCCTTGGCTTGGAATTGGAACGCGGGACGGGTCAGAAACACTTGCAACGGTTGGAAAGCAGTCGGTCGATTTTCGTTTTTCGGCATTCAAGACATTTCTGCGCACTGTGCATGACGCCACACATCCACGAACTAAATATGCGACTGCACTTGATGCATTGCGTGGCATGGAAGCAAGCGCTCTTTCCCTGGTTGGTGTGAGCCACCACGGCTCGAGGGCTACAAAAAACCTCGTGACTCGGCAATTGAACGGCGGTCTAAAGGCTGCAAGACATACACTTGGAATTGGGCTGGAAGGTTGTATCATTAATGTTTCAATGCGCACAGCTATGTCGTTTGAGCGCGCTGGGGCCGGGACGCGATGGCAGGGTCGATGGTAAATCCTCCGAAAGCATGCGAGAGCCGTTGGAGGTAACTCAAAAGCAAGCTCTGAATGTCACGCAAGGTCAATTCGACGACGATTTCTTCCAAGAACACCCCTACAACACCAAACCAGTTCTTGACCATGTAGTCGTCCGACGGTAGAGATGTACCCAAGCCAACGACAATTTCACGGCGGGGACTTGATTCCAATGTGTGGCCGATGGCTCGATGGCGCATGAGCTCCTCTGTAGTAAGAGTAGCGGAGCCCGCAAGCGTCGGTGGTACGTACGAAGGATCGAGCCACACTCCTACGCACATATTTGTCAGCGCTCCGGTCAACATGAAACATTCCTACCCAAAAACTGGACGTGGGCAAAGAGAGAGCTGAGCCGTGCGGCGTACCGACCAAGGGTATCCTTGGTACTACCGACGGTCACGATGAGTTCCAACGCTCCAGGCCCCATGGTATTGTTTCTACATCGTTTCAAACTGGGCCGAGTTTGCTCGTTCGACGACCGCCACTGCTTGCTTTCGCAACGTCCGGCCGAAACCAAACGCTAAGCTGGTCAATTTGCCCATGGTGTTGTTTCCCACGGCGTTGACGATGTCGCGCTCCATCTGCCGAGATTGTCAACCGCTATAGCGACATGGATGACACACCTTGGTGAGTTCATGAGAGGTTGCGTGGGCCTCGGGCACGAGGTTTGGAAAGGGTCGTACGAGGTCGGCCTTGGACTCTGCCAACGCCGTCGTGATGTTGTGCAGAGCGTGATCAAAGATGGTTTGATTGTCGGCCGACGTTGGCGCCGGCATGGCCTACATGGCTCATCTCATGCTGCGCTGCGAGGCGTGAACGTACCTGAAGAATTTTGAACTGGGTCGCGCACACGTCGAGGAGTCGTAGCTTGTGCTCAAGGCCAACAAGACGAACTCGGTCGAGGAACCTAGTCGTTGGTCGCGTGGGGAAACAATACGGGAAGGGAACGGCGATGTACCAAATTTCGCGTGGAGCATACAGCGTAGGCGTGAGGTGGCCGCCCGTGGCGATACAGCCGTGGATGATGCGCATAACTCCAAATACACGGAGTGCCCCGGTTTCAGGAGGTTCGAATGCATTCTGAACGCGCAGTCAGCCTCGCGTGCACATCAGACACGTACACATACGTACGTCACGAATGCAGCCACGCTTTTCCAAGAGCTCCGCCGAAAACGTGAGTTGACGTTGTCCGGCTCGAGGAGATTTGCTGGTACAACACGACAGTCAGAGCAGTCCCTTCAAGGTGGGTCGTACGTACATGGCCACTTCTGCATCCATATCCTGTATGGACGCGCGACATGAGCCGATGTCCTCCATAGAGTTCATTCTATCTGTACCTCGGAGCCGCCATCGTCCAAAGACGAGTTCTCGATCGCGGCGTCGGTCAGCGCCATCGCAGAGGAGGGTGGTGCTTCGATATTTGATGCCAAATTCGTTTCAGATTTCGTCACGATATAACACTATTCATCATCTTCACACTAATTGGTGATTTTCGGATAATCGACAAAAATTCGGATGATTCTTGCGATCTCAATTCCCGGACGATGATGGAGCTGTTGCGGGTCAGCGGTCTCCTTGTGCTCCTAGCAGCATTGAGCAGCCCCTGTGCTTCGGTATCGTTGATCTCCGTGCATTGTAGAGGCTGAGCTTATTGCGTGCGTGCTTGATAGGAGGATACTTGCGATGCCTTGGGGGAAACCAACTCGTGCACCTTCGTGCGTTCTGTTTTTGAGCGCGACCTGCTTCAACGCACACCGTCGTACCAATCTATCCTCCAGGCACGTGCTACACGCGTGTGAAGCGATGCCTCATGATGGATCTGACGTAGGAGGAAAAGCGACACAGCTCAGATGTCGACACGAAGCGCTTTGCTGGGGAAACGCTGGGGTATGTGACACCGTGGAACAACCACGGGTACGACACAGCCAAGCTCTTTCGTTCGAAGTTTACGTACATTTCACCCGTGTGGTACCAGGTTGAATCCATTGTCTGATGCTTGAATCTCATCGACCTCGTCCAGATCCGCCACAGCGACCACGGGAAACCGATCTTGACAGGTGGTCACGACGTCGACGTGGGATGGATCGCAGCAGTCCGCGGAAAAGTGGCTGGACCACACATTGTGCCGCGGTTTATGTTTGAAATGAACTCACTGTCTCCACAAGAATCGACACGCATTGTGCAGCTGATCCGCCAGGAAGTCAAGTCGCAAGGGTTTGACGGTATCACGCTAGAGGTGCGTCCCAGTGGCATCGTCTCTCACTTGTCCATGGACACAAAGCAAATTTGTGTCGCAGATTCCTGTGCTCCAAGTCACCTTTGATTTGATTCGGTCGTTGGGCCAAGCCTTGAAGGAGGATGGCCATCTCTTCATCTTGGTCCTGCCCACGAGCCAGCGCAATGTACGTCAATATCTCTCGATCATGCCAATTTCTTGATGTGGCCGTCGACTGCATCAGGGGCAACTGACCACACCCACAGAGCTGATTGCGAAGTACGTCGTAAGATTGCTTGATGGGCCTAGTCGTGCAGAGTCACGACGGCCCTAGGGTGCTGCCGTTCGTCCATCGATTCTCCATGAACGCTTACGATTACTCGAGCATGGGCCCGAATGCTCCCTTGCCGTGGCTCAAGGCGACGTTGGAAGCGCTCAAGCCCCTCAAAAGCAACGAAAAGTTCCTCATCGGTCTAGCTTTCTATGGCTACGACACACGAGGCACGTTCTGTGTGCGAACGACTTGACCGATGATGGTTCTCATGTGACGATGTTGCAGACCCGATTGTCGCGTCCAAGTATCGCGAGCTCCTTGAAACTCACCGTCCCGCAATCGAATGGGACGGCTCGGCGCACGTACAGCAACCCCTCGGTCAGTCGTTCGACGTCGTCATCACGCCGTGTGGCGTAGGAATGCTTTTTCCGCTACCCAAACCAGCACGTCGTGTACTACCCTTGCCTCCAATCGATTCAAGACCGTCTCGAGCTGTACACGTCGGCGCAGACTGGCGCAGCGGTTTGGGACATAGGACAAGGTGCGTCGACTGGACTCCGTCTCGCCCATCCAGTGAACCTGGATTGTCGCGTCACTTACATCGCCGCGCTCGTAGGACTCGACTATTTCTTCGACCTCCTTTGATCACAAAGCCAGAAATTGCAATACAATTCGGTTAAATCGCAGTATTATCCGTATTTTTGTGTTGTTGAACTTCCATACTCGTTTGGCTATTGCGCCTCTTCGCGATGCTCAAGACTCTGGTGAAGCGGGCGCTGCGTAAGGACGCGAGCGATGAGGAAGATGCCACGAGCAAATCAATTAGTGTAAGGACGAAAGCAAGAAGCTCGAAGCGCAAGCAGAGCCAAGTCCTCGACACGACTATCTTTCACGCCATCACGAAGGCGGTTGTCGATCGCCGAAGAATCAGTAGCTCGGAGTTGTGTCAGGCGTTTGAAAAGTACGACGACAACGAAGTGGGTCTCGTCACAGAATCCTCGTTCGCCAAGGGTCTCGTCAAGATCGGCATCAAACTAAAACCCGACCAAGTCGAGTCGCTCGCCGACTGCTTTCGCCGAAGGACGACCAAGAAAGGCGGCGTCGACATCGACTACTATGCGTTCGTCGACTTTGCCATCCAAGAACGCGACTCGGACATACTAGAACAAGTTGGAGACAAGCTCCGTCGAGCGATAGTGTCCTACAACAAGAAGACAGATCGACCGTGGAACGCCATGGACGAACTCCGCCGACTGGACAAGAAGGACCGGGGACATATCTTGCCGGACGCTCTGCGTGGGTTTTTGGAGTCCAACCGCACGCTTGAATTCGAGTTGTCCGTCAAGGAAGTGTCTGCGGTTGTCGAACGCTTTGAATTCGAAGACGACAGAGGCAACACTATTGTCGACTACGAGCAGTTTGCCAAGTGGCTCCAGCCATCGATGCACGTCGACCTCAACGAGCTTCATACTCACGTCAAACGACTCTTTGCCAAAGCTCAAGACGAATGCAACGTCAGCCTCAAGGCCATCTTTGAGGAAATCGACGACGACGAGAGCGGCCACATCACGGCCAAAGAGCTCAAGGACGCGCTGCGCAACATGGGTCTGCCCATCACGGACTCTCAGATAAAGTGCTTAGTGGACGACTACGATGTCAATGGCGACGGGAAGATCGAGTACAGTGAGTTCACGGCGGCGTTTGCTGGCAAATTACCCAAGAACGATTCGAAGCACAAGCAAGATGACAACGAAGACACCGCTGAGGACACCCCTGCGAAGACAAAAGTCAAGGACAATCCACGAGCGCTCATTCCAGTCGCGACACTAACCCAGATCGAAAAGGCCGTCGTGCGAAAGAACGGCCAACGCATCAGCACCAAAGTACTTTGTGAATTGTTTGAAAAGTACGATTCCGACGAACGCGGAGTCCTTGACGACGCGACGTTCATCAAGTGCATCGGGAAGCTAGGAGTCAAGCTCAAGTCCGACCAAATGAAGACGCTTGTCGAGTGCTTTCGAGCGCGCCCCACGACGTCGACCAGGTCGAAAAGCAAAACAGCGGGTAGAGACATCGTGGATTACTATGCGTTTGCCGACTACGCGACGAACATCCCCGACACGAACAAGCTCGCGGCGGTCGGGGATAAAATCCGACGCGCCATCAGTCGTCACGAAAAGAACGCCCGAGATGGCGCCCCTGCGTTTAATATCGGCGACGAGTTGCGGGCCATGGACAAAAAGCACCGTCTCTGGCTTCCGTCCGACACGGTTCGGGCGTACTTGGAGTCGTCCAACAGCCCTGTCGATTTTGAGCTGACCTCCAAAGAAGTGGCGCTTGTCGTTGGTCGATTCGAGTTTGAATTTGACACAAAGGGCACTGTCGCAGTTGACTACGACCAACTCGCGACGTGGCTCCAGCCAACGTTGAACATGGACGTCAAGCAACTAAATGACCGTGTCAGTATGTTAATACAAAGGGCGAAAAAACAGCACAAGTTGAGCCTCAAGGAGGTGTTCGACGAATTTGACGGCGATCAGAGCGGTAGCATCAATCGAAGCGAATTCAAACAAGCTATTCAGGCCATGGGGTTGCCGCTTACCGAAGCCCAAGCTTACTGCCTGGTGGACGAGTACGATACAAGTGGCGATGGGCGGATCCAGTACAATGAATTCTCCGCTGCGTTTGCGACCAAGTCGTCGGCAGACGACAGCAGCGATGATGGTGTTGCCAAGAAGCGTAAAAAGAATGCGACAACGACCAAGACCTCCAATGCGGCGGCATCCCGCCTTATCCCTGTTGCCGCCGAAGAAGCCATTGCAAAAGCCGTCCGGGGCAAGCGAAAGCTCAGTCCAACAGCATTGTGCGAAGCGTTTGAGCGGTACGACAAGGAAGAAAATGGCCTCGTCGACGAGGCTACGTTCACCAAAGTGATGGGCAAAGTCGGGATCAAGGTCAAGTCAGATCACTTGAAACGCGTGACGGACTGCTTCCGTCAGGGCAAGTTTAAGAAAAAGACCAACCCGGACATTGACTACTACGGGTTTGTCGACTATGCGACCAACATCCCGGACACGGACAAACTCGCCGCTGTCGGGGACAAGATGCGCCAAGCCATTGTCCAGTACAACAAGAGGTCATCGGACCAGCACCCGTTCAACTTGCTCGACCACTTGCAAAAGCTCGACAAGAAGGCCAAGGGGTGGTTGAAGCCCGAGGTGTTTCAGTCCTTTATCGAGTCGAATCGACCTATTGCGTTTGACTTGACCGAGAAGGAAGGCCAAGCCATCATGGAGCGATTTCGATTCGACTATGACGACAGATCATCCGGTGTGGACTACGATCAAGTGGCCAAGTGGCTGCAGCCCACGCTACACTACAACGCGAAGGAACTGCACAAGCACGTGTGCAGGCTGTTTGCAAAGGCCAAGAAAGAATTCAACATGAGTTTGAAGGAGATCTTTGAGGAGATCGACGACGACGGATCTGGCCATGTAACGCGAATGGAGTTCGACGATGCCCTTCTCGGCATGGGCCTTCCACTCACGGGAGGCCAAATCAAGTGCCTTGTCGACGAGTACGACCTCAACGGCGACGGGAAAATTCAGTACGGCGAGTTTGCCAAAGCTTTCAGCAACCCCGTGGACACAAGCGACGACGACGTCGAGGACGTGCATGCGCAAGCCAAGCGGAAAAAGG